TACTTTGGTATATATATAGAGTGTCTTTTTTCAATACTTACAATGAACTACAATGAAATTTAGATACTTCACATTGTTTCAATCATTGTAACATTAACACTAAAATTTCTGTGCTGCATGTCATTCAGCTTCTTCAGGAAAGTACATTCAATTATTCACAGTGATTGATATCAAACTAAGATTACACTGTTACTGTGTGTTTTCTGATATTATTCTCAAATTAAAGAACTGGAAGATGGTAGTTGCAATAAAGTTCTTCACGGACAAATTTTCCTCTCACCTTCTTCCTTTTTTATCTATAGAAAAAATATCAATAAATATGTTATAAATGTAAGACCAGGTGACCTTAGTATATTTCACTGAGTAAAACACTAGAAATGATATTTACAGGAGTTTTAGCTGGTCATGATTGAAAGAAAATTTCCTATTTAATGTAAACATAAAAGATAAACAATAACACATAATATATACATCTGCCAAAACACTTGTTTATTTAAGTCTTCAATGTGAAACATGACAGTTTTTCATGTTTTATTTACTTATCAATTATCATGCAGTGAAATTCAAAAATAATCAAAATATTTTGATAATTGTTTATCCCAAAAAAGTAAAAAAAGAAATCAATTATTTTACATGCATTTACTTTTTAAGATCATAGGCAGTGCAAACAGTTGATTAATGGTCTATTGTGAACATCTGTATTTTCTACCTTCCTGTCATCATATCTGAAATGGTTTAAGGTTAATTCAGATATTGTATTTTTTAATTCAATCATTAATATATTCCTAAGTAATTTTACATGTAAATATATTTGAAAAAGGAAAAGAATATCAGTGTCCATAAAGATACTATAGTCCAAAGTAAGAAATGGAATACACAACATGTAATACTATTAAACTTTGCATAAAGCTATCCATCTATTTCAATGATTAAAACCCTTACTTGGTACCTTGGTTTTATACCAATCTAAGTAATTGAAATCTTTATAAAATGGAAGAGAAAGAAATATCCGAGTTACTGAGCAATGTCTGACTTTTGGTAAAACTTTAATATTCACTAGAATTAAAGTGTTTCTCCGTGGTTTATTTCAATAAGTAATATGGTTTAAATAAGAAACTCACATCAGTAGTTTTAATATATTAATATTATTATATTTTTAACCCAAAAGGGATATGAGTGATACATAGATAATATAAAAGAAAAAAAAGAGTAAAAAAAAAATTGACCTTCTGGGATTTGAACCCACGACCAAAAGTTTCAATGTATTAAACAGTAGTACTAGCCTATTTGAATACTCTCAACACGGAAATAATGCATTAGGACAGTCATACCTTAAGATCCACGTACGTTATCTAAATTTTCTAAAATGTATATAAGTTGATCTTGTACAATGTAAAATACTTTTCCTGTCTAGTTTTTTTTATTTTATTGCACTTGAAAATACCAGGTACCACATTTGTTATAAAATTTAGCATTATTTAGCCAAAAAAAAAAATACCTACATCAATTAAATGATACAAATCAAACATTTTTTACCAAAAAGGATATGAGAAATACATAAATAATATAATAATATAAAAGAAAAAAAAAGTAAAAAAAAAGTTCTGGGATTTGAACCAATGGCCCTAAATTTCAATGTATTTAACAGTAGCACTAGCCTATATGAATACTTCGGCGGCACAAAGGTGACATGTGTGTTATTATTTATCTCGTGCGCACGAGATACTATGTCGTGGCAACGAGTTACTAATTCGTGGCCAAGAGATAGCTATGTCGTGGCCACAATATACGATGTCGTGGCCACACGTTACTAAGTCGCGGCCACGAGATACTATGTCCCACGAGTTACCAAGTCGTGGCCACGAGATAGCTAAGTCGTGGCCACGAGATACTATGTCGTGGTCATGAGTTACTTAATCGCGGCCACGAGATAGCTAAGTCGTGACCTCGAGATACTAAGTCGTGGCCATGAGATAGCTAAGTCGTGGCCACGAGTAACTTAGTTGTGGCAACGAGATAATTAGGTCGTGGGCACGAGATCCTATGTCGTGGCCACGAGTAACTTAGTTGTGGCCACGAGATAATTAAGTCGTGGGCACGAGATACTATATTGTGGCCACGAGTTACTAAGTCGTGGGAGCAAGATATCTAAGTCGAGTTCACGAGATAATAAACCAAGCAGAATACACCATATATATTATGATTTTTTTTAACTTAACAACTTACTTTTACATACAACATTAATCTTTGAAAATACTGAAGATATTCACTTTGAACTTGTTTAGTATCATATTAGAAAGTCACCTTCCAAGATCCATCAGACATTAATTTTGACTATACCCTTTGTTTGGACAATTTTGTGATATAATTGGTCATTTTGTACGTTCTACGGCATATTAACCTTGTTTATACAATAACATGAGAAGGAATAAGTCCTGGTTTATTTTATTTGAAAGGGACATTGCCCATGGACAGTATATAGCCTATAAGAAGTAATCCTTGTCTGTTGAGTAATTTAGAAGGAATAAGCCATGGTTCATATAACCCAGAAAGATCATTGCACCAGAACAGTAGATGACATCTAATAATTTCGAGGTCATTGGGTCAAAAATCAGGGACAAAGTGACGCTAAATGTAAAATTATTGACCTGTCAATAAGTTGTATAAATGGCACTTTTACAGGCTGGTGAATTAGGGGCATCCTTGAACTATAGCACATGTCTTGTTAATTAGGGAAATTCATATAAATGGTGTAATCTGATTGGTTATTTATCTCGTGGCCGTGACTTAGTTACTCGTGGCCACGACATAGTATCTCGTGGCCACGACTTAGCTATCTCGTGGCCCCGACTTAGTAACTCATGGCCACAACAAAGTATCTCGTGGCCACGACTCAGCTATCTCGTGGCCACGACTTAGTAACCCGTGGGACATAGTATCTCGTGGCCACGACAAAGCTATCTCGTGGCCGCGACTTAGTTACTCGTGGCCACGACATAGTATCTCGTGCGCACGAGATAAAAAAAACACACACACATGTCACCTTTGTGCCACCGTAGAATACTTTTCAACACGGAAATAATGCATAAGGATGGTCATACCTTAAGATCCACGTACGTTATCTAAATTTTCTAAAATGTATATAAGTTGATCTTGTAAAATGTAAAATACTTTTCCTGTCTAGTTTATTATTTTATTGCACTTGAAAATACCAGGTACCATATTTGTTATAAAATTTAGCATTATTTAGCCAAAAAAAATACCTACATCAATTAAATGATACAAATCAAACTTTTTTTACCAAAAAGGATATGAGAAATACATAAATAATATAATAATATAAAAGAAAAAAACGTAAAAAAAAAGTTCTGGGATTTGAACCAATGGCCCTAAATTTCAATGTATTTAACAGTAGCACTAGCCTAAATGAATACTACGGCGGCACAAAGGTGACATGTGTGTTATTATTTATTTCGTGCGCACGAGATACTATGTCGTGGCAACGAGTTACTAATTCGTGGCCAAGAGATAGCTAAGTCGTGACCACAATATACGATGTCGTGGCCACACGTTACTAAGTCGCGGCCACGAGATAGCTAAGTCGTGGCCACGAGATACTATGTCCCACGAGTTACCAAGTCGTGGCCACGAGATAGCTAAGTCGTGGCCACGAGATACTATGTCGTGGTCACGAGTTACTTAGTTGCGGCCACGAGATAGCTAAGTCGTGACCTCGAGATACTAAGTCGTGGCCATGATATAGCTAAGTCGTGGCCACGAGTAACTTAGTTGTGGCCACGAGATAATTAAGTCGTGGGCACGAGATCCTATGTCGTAGTCACGAGTAACTTAGTTGTGGCCACGAGATAATTAAGTCGTGGGCACGAGATACTATCGTGTGACCACGAGTTACTAAGTCGTGGGAGCGAGATATCTAAGACGAGTTCACGAGATAATAAACCAAGCAGAATACACCATATATATTATGATTTTTTTTAACTTAACAACTTACTTTTACATACAACATTAATCTTTGAAAATACTGAAGATATTCACTTTGAACTTGTTTAGTATCATATTAGAAAGTCACCTTCCAAAATCCATCAGACATTAATTTTGACTTTACCCTTTGTTTGGACAATTTTGTGATATAATTGGTCAGGTTGTACGTTCTACGGCATATTAACCTTGTTTATACAATAACATGAGAAGGAATAAGTCCTGGTTTATTTTATTTGAAAGGGACATTGCCCATGGACAGTATATAGCCTATAAGAAGTAATCCTTGTCTGTTGAGTAATTTAGAAGGAATAAGCCATGTTTTATATAACCCAGAAAGATCATTGCACCAGAACAGTAGATGACATCTAATAATTTCGAGGTCATTGGTTCAAAAATCAGGGACAAAGTGACGCTAAATGTAAAATTATTGACCTGTCAATAAGTTGTATAAATGGCACTTTTACAGGCTGGTGAAGTAGGGGCATCCTTGAACTATAGCACATGTCTTGTTAATTAGGGAAATTCATATAAATGGTGTAATCTGATTGGTTATTTATCTCGTGGCCGTGACTTAGTTACTCGTGGCCACGACATAGTATCTCGTGGCCACGACTTGCTATCTCGTGGCCCCGACATCGTAATTCGTGGCCACGACTTGGTAACTCGTGGCCACGACATAGTATCTCGTGGCCACGACTTAGTAACTCGTGGCCACAACAAAGTATCTCGTAGCCACGACTCAGCTATCTCGTGGCCACGACTAAGTAACTCGTGGTACATAGTATCTCGTGGCCACGACAAAGCTATCTCGTGGCCGCGACTTAGTAACTCGTGGCCACGACATAGTATCTCGTGCGCACGAGATAAAAAAAACACACACATGTCACCTTTGTGCCACCGTAGAATACTCTTCAACACGGAAATAATGCATAAGGATGGTCATACCTTAAGATCCACGTACGTTATCTAAAAGCAGCATCCAATCCGAATACATCATGTTAAATGTAAACGCATTGTTGAAATTTATAAAATCATCTTAAATATATCACTTGTAATAAGGAATTGCTCTGCTTTAATGAGAAAGCAAATAATGAAGATTTTGGTATTTCTGATAATGTGTTTGTGCTTCAAATACATCGCTACAATCCGTGTAAATAATGGCGGATATGAGGATCTGTATATTGTAATACAAGACAACAACGAGGACAGTGAATTTCTTCTAAAGCGTATACAGGTAAAAAATATTATATAAAATATATTACTATATTAAAAGTTATATAAATAATTAAATGTATTTTTTATATTTCTTTCTGGTAAAAGATATGCATTTCGTAACTTAAATATATATCCGTAAGAATATCAGTATAATATAACTTTTCGATAGCAAAAGATGCATAAGGCAAAATTAGATATATGTATATGTTGATTATTTACACAAACCACAACAACAATAAAACTACATCTTTAGCCACTTACATTCCTCTCCCCAACACAAACACACGGAAAAGAAGGGAACAAAGTTTACAAACAAACAACAACAAAAAATACAAAAGCAAATGCGACACACACATCAACTGCGAGAAAAACTACATCAATAAGTCAATATTTATATATTTTTTAATCCAATGTTTTTTGTTTTTTTTTTCATAAAGGCAAATAGGCACACTGAAACAATATACTAGAATTGAATAAACTGTACATGATCTTACAATATGATTACTTTTTTTGTGCCAACCGAGCTCATTTTAGCTCAACTGAGCACAACGTGCTCAATATAAACATGTGTCCGCCGTTAACATTTTACTAAAGCGATATATCATCATAAACCCTCACAAGAATATTTATGGAATAAACAGGAATGAGCCTTCGGTAATATCCTCAAAATACACTCAAATGGATCCGGTCTGTAGAAAAAGATAGCCGCAAGAGCAAAATATAGAAAACCATTTAAAAGTCATTTCCTCCCTAATCGTTTGATAGATTTTAAACTATACAGAAATAATCTTTAATTGGATCTTTATAAAAATGCTTAAATGGCTCTGGTCTGTTGGACAAGATGGATGCTAGGTCTTATTATAGAAAAAAGTGTAAATTGACAACTTGTCTTCAACGGCCCAATATATTATGATGAAACTCTACAGACGTGATAACTGGGCATTCCTTTACTAAAATTGTTCCGATCTGCTGCTCAAGATGGCCCCCTGAGCTTAAAATAAAAAACCTTTAGGCGTATAAAGCTATATATCTGGAACAGAATTGTTTGAGTTTTAAAAAAGAATACTTCCAAAATGCTTGCATGAAATAAACATAGTAGATACATGCCTTAAAAGCGAATGACCATGCACAAAATAATTACTTTTAATAGCAAATAATATTTTGTTCCGGAACATTTTATTCTGTTTACATACAATATTCACTTTTTCGGGAATCAATATAATTTTAGTTCTTTCTATTCGGAATCTTTCTTGTTGGGTAGTTCAAGTATTCCTAACTTGAATACTGTTGAATCACCCTTCGGATATGTGGCCTGCTTTTTAAATTTGTCTTTTGATGTCATATACATAACCTCAGATCCCCTATCAAAATTCCATTTTATTTAGTTCCGCCCATTGTTTTCTCGTTTAGGGCACGTGCATGTTTTTTACTTGGGGACCATATGCCGCTTTTCATGGAATGGCACTAACGTGTCACATTGAAGGTTACATGATAACCGCCATATGAACACATCTTCAGATGTTTCAAAGTTCTAAATGTTACCAGTTCATGTTAAATGTTGAAATCTGCTTACGCCGGTGCTTAGGGGCGTGGACGGTAGTTTGCACTTGACAGTACCGTCCATGAACAGGCTCAATCAAACCGAGCCTGCAACAATTTCAATTTTGCATTGTTGGGCTTTCTTTAGGGATTCTTACTTTTCTCTATTTAACTGTTTATAATTTTTATAAAATATGATAAACAAGATCAACAAGGAAAGGTGGTGTTCAATGAACGCAACCCCATGTGACCCATCAACAAGAACCAATGGCAAGGAGCCCAGGCGGACCCCAAACAAAAACAGGACAGGGCAAAGACAGTGCACGGACAGGTGAAACATTAAATAATAAATAATTTATAAATGATTAAGAATTTAAAGAAAATAATAAAAGGCCCAGAAAGGGGAAGGGGACAGGAGACCGGGGGAAGGGGGAGGGGGTAAATGAAAGAAATAAAAACTAGAGGCAATGGGGAAGATACTTACCGTAGACGAGAAAACAACAAGGGACACAAGCAAAAGTGTCACCAAAACAGTATGAAACAACATAGACATACATCTGAGGAACACAGTGGGGCGCCGCCTTGGAACGGTTAGAAGCATAATAATGACTGCTGGGGAGTTTAAACCGGTTAATGGTGCACCAAACCTCGCTCTTAGCCCCACCATGTTCCTATAAACGAGACAGTGTAAATAAAATGAATCCCCGCGAAGTGAAATTCTAACAGTTGTCATGGTTACAAAAGATTAAATAAGTAAAACACTAAAATGATCATGTAGTGGGGCGGGAAATAAGGTCTCTGCTGTCAAAATAGTGCAAATTGTGATACAAGCATGAAACTTTCAGGAAATTATCTTTAGACCATGTAGATTTCAAAAGTGAAGTGGGCCCAAAAATATCTCTTGCTGCTCATTCAAGATGGCCGCCATTTTCAAGATGGCCGCCATATAAATTGATGTACATAATAGGCATTCGCAATTTTTTGTACAGACCTTAAACTTACACCAAAGCATGCAAGTTTCCCCTTTTCAAAATTTAAATCTTTAAGCAATTTCTCTTGCATATTTTTTTCAGAATCCAAGATGGCGTCCAATATGGCTGCCAATTTTAATGAAAACTGATATATCTCTTTTGTAGTATAATTTTTTGCACACGACATTTCCATATAAAAATTGTGAAATATAGTAGAAAAAAAATAAATTTTTAGGTTAACCACATTGTTAGTCCATGTTTTTAGTTTTTTGTACAAAAAAAATATTTTAAAAAATCAAAGAAAAAGTGCCATTTTTCATTTTTCTTAACATGGTTTTCTAGGTCTATGTACAAAATTCCAAAGTTACATAGTTTCTTAAAGTGTATTTGATATTCAATCAACACTATGTTTTATTGTATAATTGTAACAAAAAACAAACAAAATGTGAAGGTTTTATACTTATTAAAAGTGGGTGGGGTAAATTTATCAGACAAATTGTAGTACAAAATAACGTTTTTTAAGAATTCTTATGCAAATATTTCACTGTTAAAAGTATTTTATTGTATTAAGGTATTTTGTTTTCCTTCAGGTCTAGAGGGTGTACTAAAATATCAATAAATGCAGATACAATCATATGTATACATTCAGTTATTAAATGTGTTTGCATGATATAAGTTGTTTCAATAGTTCATAATATAACTTGATAATTATACAGAAAGAAGACTGAATATTCATCAACGAACCATATGGTTAGATAAAATCATGTCTGGACCTTAGTGAAAATGTTGTCTATTTATGAATACAATTATTTCCTGCACAAATTTAGTCTTGCTAAAAGCTTGTAACAGAATGATTCAAAGTTATATTTACTTGCACATCATTGTAACCAAGTATAATTGAATAAGTACCGTCCATTTCTAATAACTTATGTAGACATGATATTTTCAAAAGAAACAAAAATTTTGGCGGACTGATACATCATATTATCTAATGACTAGGTGTGCTAAAATAGGTATCAATAAACCGCTTGACCCACATAACAAACATAGCTTATACTTTGGAAATATAAACTAAATGTATTCCTACCTTATTTTTTTCCCATAAAACAAGAGAGCATTGTTGACCCTAGATCACGCGCCTAAGACCCACTGCTGGAAAAGGTCTATATAATTCGTTTTATACTGAAGAAGGCTAAAATCATATAAGGAGTATCTTTTTTTTCACCAGTCATGATTTAAAGAATCATTCCATATACTAGACTCTCAGAACTACAGAAGACTCATATCTATATTCCATAAGAGTCCATGTAAACTAAGTGATTTTGACCCTAGCCAATAGTTCATAATCTCTATATATAGCATCACAATGTTAAACTACGATATTTTCTCTTCTCTGTGCACATAGTTTCGGAGAAAGAATTTTTAATATATAAGTCAATGTAAACTAAGTGACAGGGCAAGCCATTTTGGACTGCAGGAACATGATTAAAGGCCCTCACGAGGAACACAGTTTTTAAAGACTTGTGTAGGGAATCGCATTGAAGTTGTTTTGTTGTTTGATGTTATTAAAAAAAATCAACAAACAAACAAACTGTAATGCCTAGAGCTTAGATAGTCAAAATTATAACCTTGCCAAGTAAAGAAGACCTCTTTAAAAGTTACATAAAACACTTTTGTGATCATTAAGTGTACATGCAATAAAAAAATCTTCTCAAAAAATCAAAATGCATAGAGCACAGTACTAAAGCTGGCATGTAGCACTACTTAGGTCTTTATAACACATTTAATGAATCATGCTCATAGAGCCACCTGGGTTCACAGACTTGTATAGGAAAAACACATTAAAAACATCTAGTGTTAAACTTCATTGACTTTGAAATAAGGTATTTGGGATGTAGACTGATATAACATGCATAAATTTGTATGATGCTATTGCAGTCTAAAATGGTTTTGCAATGGTATCACTTAATTTACAAAGACTACTGTAATAAATATGTTTTTCTCTTAAACTACACTATCCGACGCATATACATTAATCATGTATCATCATAATTATGTATAATATGATATATCATGGACAACATGGTCAAATTTAACAAACACAAAAGGTCACTACGTTTATATGGACTCGTATATAGATATAGTTATTAAAGTTCTCTCGTGTGAAATAAAAAATTGAAAGCAGATATTGAGCATATTTCTTTAAAAGCAACCAGATTCAATTATGACACAAATCATGTGTGTTATGACATAATTGACCACTCCCAAATGATCTTGTTACTTTTTTTCCAACAATGATCTTAGGTGAGTGATCCAGGGTCATCATTACCCTCTTATTGAAAGAAAAAAATAAGATATGATTACTTTAGGAAATACTAGTACACTTAGTTTGTATCTTAACTTTTCAAAAAGCTGCATGCAGGCCAGGCCATATATATTGATATATATGTTTCACATCACATACATTTTGTTGGCTTTTATATAAATATAAAATTGTGGAGGAGTCAAA